GATGGATCAAAAGGCTCATGAGAAAGATGGATCAGTAGCGATACCAATGATAGAGTTATGAGAAAGAGAATGTTGGAAAGCTTGATTATATTGATGAATATACACGAGTATATATAGTACAAGATTAGAACATTGAACATACCAAACTATGACTACATACAATATGTGACTAGGTACATCAGCTAATTATAAGGGATATACTTTGACTATCAAAATTAAGGAGTAAATCAAGGAATTTACATATTCTAAACAATAACTAATAATGATAATGATGATATAATCATCTTTATCCTTTGTACATGTCGCCTAGCTTGGGGCGCTTCGACTCGAATAAAAAAGTTTTCAACTAAAGTATTTCCAACTAGCTAAATGTCCAATGGCAACATTCGATAAATTCTCGTTTTCATTTACTAGAAATATTGATAAGCAACATTCGCTTTAGTTGTTACAGTACTATCAATGTGACAGTTAGATTTGGACGAAGTACCTGATCATAACCTTCAGCATCTGAGCTCACCACACATTGCATATTTGAGAGACACGACCCATCATTCACCTGCCATAATAATATATAAATCAGTGAATTCCAACAATAGAGAATTAGAAACATTTCTTCAAAAAAAAAAAAAAACCTCAATAAAAGTGACGCTGCTCTGCATCCGAATGGTGCGAACCCAGCCTCGAACGAGCAAAGTATGGCCTAAACGATCCAAACCCTGGTCAGGACCGCCCTTAATATCAGCAATTTTCAACCTCTTACGAAACAGTCCGACTTTACTACCGGAATCGACATTTTCCGGCGGCTTAATGTCTTCGCCGGCAGATGAGATGAGAGTGCAGCAGCATCTCCGACGAGGCAGAGGAGAAGAATGATGAGCGGAGGAGAAGCATAAGCGAGGTTTCGGAAGAATTGAGTTACTAAGGGTTGTGGTCGTAGGAAGGAGAGACTGAGCAAAGATACGAATGGCAATGTGTGGTCTTAGGCGGGGAGAGAAGGCAACGGCCATTCTCTCTTTTTCTTTTGTTTTTGATTTGATTGATGATAAAGAGCTAGGAAGGCTTTTGCCTGGTGTATATACTTATTGAGTTATTGTAGCTTTGCCCTTCTTCTAGACATATGTTAATATTGTTACTCAAATGACAATGTTGTTAATAGTAGTATTAGGGTTTTTTTTTTTTTGAAAACTATTAATATTAGGATTTGTTCTCATACATTTATTTTTAGTCAGTTCAGTTCAACTCCTAATTTTTTTCTGTAATAAAATATTTAGTTCAATGCAGCTGAGTTCAATCAATGAGAACATGCCTTTAGTCTTGAAATTCGTGTATAGCAGTCCTTCCTTCTTCATCTATCTCTTCTCTTCCTTCTTCACTTGTCTGCAAAAGTATAACAATGGTGTTATTCGTCCAACACCACAAACATAGATCGTCCTCAACACTACTAACACCAAACAAACTCCGATCCCAACATGTCACTTCTGGTGGCTTCGCCACCGAATTTTATGAAAACCCTAAAAAAAATTATAAGTTAAGGGCATGGTTAACCTTAAATGGTAGGAATTTGTTATTGTTTATAAGTGTTCCCTCCTTGAAAAAATTGTTCAGCCTCCTATTAAATAATGAAGATCTCGGTTTCCCCTTCTCATCTTTTTTTCCTTCTCATCATTTTTTCGTCATCTTAACTCCATCTTCTTTACTTTAATCCAAGCGTGACTAATCTACCCCTACCTTAGCCGGTGAAATGACCAGCGTATCCCTTGAGTAATATGGATTGTTACTAAAATTGAGTAACTTGAATTTGCTGCTCTTCCTTTTGTTGGTTGTTTATAAATAATTAATTAACTTATTATTAAAGATGGCGAGGATTCATTAATGTCTAGTTATTTCTATATTATTACACAATGGCTCACCGGTTTATTTTTTTTTTTTTTTTTACGGACACTTTAAATATTTATATTAAAATTATCGTCACTCCCCACTCAAACATTCACTTAGACCCTATTCATTTTGTTAAACTTAAATTATATTTGCTAAACTAAAATTATTTTTTACTGATTTTCTAATATATTTTCTTTCAAGTTATTGATTTTTACTAAATTGAAATTAATTTTACTAAACTAAAATTATTTTTACTGAATACTCCATATTATTTTTTTAAAATTAAACTGAAAGGGCCTAACTTCACTTTACAATGCCCCGTGCACTATTTCTATGAATAAAATAATATTCCACTATGTTCACTTTACAATAAACATCTTAATAAGCTATTCCACTCAAACATTTTCATATAAACTCCATGCCCATTTCAATGTGTCAATTAAATGGGAACGGAGAGAGTACTCCTTAAATTAACTTACGGAGTACACTCTCTGTTTCATAATATCGCAATAGTAAAGTATGGACAGAGCTTTAGGAAAATTACAGGGTAATATCGAATGACACTCGTCACTTTCTGGTGTTGTTTTTTCCAAAACAATGGGTTTCTTATTATTATTTTATCAAATGTTTAAAAGAATACTTAGGGGCGTTTGGTTGGGGGGTTTCAAGAAACGGAATGGGAATCAACTGCCATGATTCCCTTTAATGTTGTTTGTTTGTCTAATTCAATCATTCCATTTCCCCTTTGATTACCCAATTTTCTTCCATCATCATTCCCCACCTCCTCAAGGGAAACATCCATTACCCCAAAATCCTCTACACCCAACAACTATAACCAACTTTCACCACCTGACTTGGTCCACCAGCAACCTCCCACTGCCAATCGTGAACCGTCCCCATTGTAGCCGTCACCACCACTGACGACCCCAGCTTCAAACGCCCCTAAAACTCCACCGCTCCACGAAACCACTTTGAAATTACCATGATACCACCACAACCATTAATCAAAACCACCACAACCACCCCGAAGCCCCACCACCACTAGAAAAAAACCACATACAACCTCCCAATTACTACTAATTTTAAAATTAAAATAATATAAGTGAAAAAATTACCTTTTTCTATCATCAAATATGGCTATAGATGGTCAAATACACCAATAAAAACTCCAGATCTAGAGTTTTTAAGGGTGAATTTGACCTTTAAAACCTATAATTAGATGAGAGAGAAAATTTCGATTGTGGGGCCTAAGAGAGGCAGCGGCGGTGGCAGTGACATGGAAGGGATCCAAAAATGACGTCAGGATGGAGTGGGTGGTGCTCTATTAATATGAGGGAGAAGTTTTGGAGAAGGTGGGAAGTCTGTAACTTATTGATTATGTAACCAACAACATATTACATCAAAGGTATCATTATTTTCCCCCTCAATCCCTTTCTTGATTCCATTCTGTTTACCTTGTCTTAACCAAACGACCCCTTAATGTACCATAAATATCAATAATTGGGTATACTATGTCACAAGTAATATGTTACAAATATTACCACCTTAAATATCTATGTATTGTGCAATTTTTTACCAACAAATTATAGTTAACTTAGATAAGATTATAAGTCTTTAATTGCATTATTTGTTACATATCATAAGATAATTAACATGTATATTTTAAAAAATTAATAGATTTATTTTGAAGTTTGAAAAATTGTATTCTTTTTCGATTTGGTGAAAAATAAGAATTTCTGTTAAATATTTTTGTTATATTCAAATCACAACATACAAGAATGAATTTGGTTCTCCTTATACAATTTTTTTTTTCAAAATATTAAATTTGCAACATGATCATCAATACTGTGTAAAACAAAACAAAAAAAAAATGAATATCAAATATCAATACATAATAAAAAAAAAAAATAGTTGAACGTTATCATCAAATTAAAACAAGTACAAACTTGATTATCAATACACTAGCTAATAAAAGACAATCGAATATTATTATCAAATTAAAACAAGTACAAAATAGTAACTCGGGACATTGTCCAAACACACCCTAATTTCCAATTATTATACAATATGCTTTATCATTTTTGGGGGAAACAGGACCGAAACATGCCACTAAAAGAATCTACTAAGACAGAACAAAGACGGGTTTTACTGTCAAAGTGTCTAGTTTACCATACAACATTTATTATACTTTGGTCCTATTCACTTCACCTTATTTTTGTTGAACATAAATTATTTTTACGAATTGAAATAAATTTTGATGAACTGGCATTATTTTTTACTAGATTAAAATTAATTTTTCTGAACTAAAATAATTTTACCAAAATGAAATTATTTTACTAAAATGAGATTAATTTTGCTAAATTGAAATAATTTTACTAAACTGAAATTATCTTAATGAATTGAAATTAATTTTGCTGAACTAAAATTATTTTTACTGAATATAATTTTTTGTAAGATGAAGTGAACATGGTCTTACACTACTTTGATGCGCAATTTCATGTGTACTCTCGGTATACCATGCACAAGGTAATCCAGGTTCATAATTTCATGTTATTTTAATGTGAATTTCTTATTATTTCAAATTTTATATATTTTATTTTTAAATAAGTACGTGATATTTTATACATGTATTGTATTTTTTTATATTCAACATTGATCATTTCACTGTATAAAGCTCTTGTGTTAATTGAATATGCCATACTCTTAACATTAATTTTCATGTAATATTAATTCCCTCAAAGGAATGAGAATACACATAAGTTGGTTTTGAATACCAAAAATTATCAATTTCAAGCAAACTAACACAAGGTATAAAAAATAGCACAAAGTTTGTGTAAATAATCTCTCAGCTCATGCTATTTTTATCAATAATACCTATATTATTTACACAAACTTTTATTTTAACATAAATTTTTGCTAGATACTCATATTATTAACTACTACATTGACAGCTAACCTCTACCCACTACTAATTATAAACTATCCAATACTCTAATGGCTACCCGCTACTCGACCGCTAAAAGTTACCAGCTACCAAAAGTTTTGCCAAATAGAGCTTATTTGATTATTTATTTATTTATTTTTCTAAAAAAAATCGGAATAAATTAGCATAACTTTTTTTTTTTAAATCTGAATTAGGAGTTGTAGAAAACAAATCTATCTATTAACTATTACCAAAAACAGAAGATGTTGACGTTACCACTGCCTATGCGTCGCTCTCTTAATAAATAAATTTCTGCCTAAATGCAATGATGATGTCATTTTTTTTTTTCTGGAGTTATCATATTTAACATTTTTTAAATTTAAATATTAAAAACTTCTACATTACAACTAAAACCTATCAATTTATAGTAAGAAATTGAAACAATTTTAAATAGCACAGTAGCACACTAATAAATGACCTCCTACATTGAACTATAAAGTAGACGACGTTGAACATACACCATATCATAATTTGATGAAAATAAAATTTTTAAAATAATCAAATGTACGTAATTTATATTCATGAATAATAGCAATTTATTTTTAAAATATACAAATTAAAAATAGGTTTTATATAAATCGCTCGGGTTCTAATTTAGTGAAACAACAAGATCAAATAAACAATTTAAAAGGATTTATCAAGACAATTTCGTATATAAAATTTAAAAATTATAAATCAACAATTTTTTTTTAGAAAATAAATCAACAATTTTTTATTAAAATATGACCCAAATTACCATATTACTCCGTAACATTTAAAAAAAAAAATTATTTACGATATCCCCACCCCTAAAGGTTTGTTTTTTTTGTTTTTTTTTTTTATTAAAAAAAAAAAAAGAAAAAAGGTGGGCTTTGGTGTGGGGACGTGGGGTTGGTTGGACTCGTGGGGAAGGAAATTCATACCTCTGCGTGGAAGACAATAAATTACAACGGAGTACAGACTATAGAGGACTGTCTTTCCCCTCTTTCTATCAGTTTCCGGTTATTTTTCTCCTCATCCGACGTGATCAGATATCACCTACGTTTATGGAACTTTGATCTGTAAGTTCAAACTTATTAATCTGTTGACTTCTATGCTGCTTCAACCAACTCAGTTTATTCAATTTTGTCGCAATTTTATTTTATCTTTATTTATTTTTTAATTATTGGAGAGGAACAAGAGGAGAGTGATTTGCGAAACCCTTGTATTTGGGGCCTTGTTCTGTTTTTGTG